TTTTTTAAATTGGTTGCATTGTATCTACAGTCAGAGTGATTACTTTTTTTGCATTCATTACATATTGTCACAAGAATCAACATGCAAGTAAACTGAACAAGGTTTATTCGCAGGAGTACTGGAAGCACAGCAAAGTAAACAGGCGAGTAAGCAGATAAAGGATAACTGAAACAACTTATCTCTGAAAATGAGAGTTCTTTCTATTACAGGAACACAAGGCTGAAGCAGACCAGACTGAGGACAAACTAGGATGCAGAAGGTAGGAAATCACAGGTGAGAGGGTTCCAAGGGAACAACGCTGGTAAGTAGTTACAGGTGAGTTGAATTGGTCTATACAGAAAATGCAAGACCTCATAGACACAAACAGTCCTGTACAAAAACAAGACAAGACAAAGCATGTGAATTTGGTGCTGGCTTTTGGGGACTGATGAGGCTGATGGCAGACAGGTGTGGTGATTGTGGCGTGTACACAGGTGGGAACCAGCAGGGATGCTGGGAAACGTAGTTCAACGGTGACTGGGCTGGTGACTGAGGATTGTGGCTGGGGATTGGGACACATATATTTTAGAATTATATTTACCAGCACTAATAATGTTTTGTGTCTAAACCAGTAATTTCAGAAAATGTTATATTTACATTTATAGCAATTATTTTTGTCTAAAGCAACTTAAAATAGAATAACAATTTTTCACAGAGTAAACAATATTCATAGTATACAATGCCAAGTTTATTACCAGGAAAATGAGCAGATGAATGAATATGGGAATAAAACTATGGGTCAGGATAGTTGGTCAAGTCTGTCATGTGTTAAGGTCCAGTGAGGTGCTGTACCAAATATTCATTACAGCCTTTTCCTGTCCTTCGACTGAAAGACTTCACTCGACAGGACGCCACCATGACCTGCAAAATAGAGGAACAGCACTTATTTCTTAAATAGATGAAAATGGCATGTCTCAGATATAACTATTCTTACATAACAATGTAAGAGAACAATTTGTAATACCTGTACTATTTAATCTAGAACATTCTCTCTCCTGCAGTTTTACTACGGTGAAGAAGAGACAGATCTGTGCAAACCCTGGTGATCTGTGGGTTCAGAACGCCAGCTTGCGCATCCACTGAGTTCAGCATTACACACACTTACAGTGAGCACAAAACTTAACCTGGCAGTGGACACAAAACTTAACCTTAGTAGTGAATATTACTAAATTACAAACATACAGTAGCCCTGTTTTGTTATATGCAAATGGAATTTTGTTTATGTTTATGTCTCCTTATGAATATACTCTGGTAAATATGAATGAGCTGAAGGTAAATCTTGAGATGCCTCTTGTAACATTTTTTATTTTATGTCTTGCATTGAAAAAAGGCAAATCAACATAATGTGGATCATCAAATCGGTCTAAAACTGCCTAAATCAAGAGTAATATAAAACATATTGATTAGAATTTATTTTCATAATTAGTTAATTAATAAATAGTTTTGACAGCAACATTGTGTCTTTATGTTTTGTCTGCTATTGTTTTAATAAGGTTTGCATTTCTAATAAGGTTTACTCAGTTTGAAGTATTTTCCTAATACTTAATGCTTACAACAAGGCTGCTCTGCAACAGTCTAAAACAGTTTTTTTCAGCTGTGCACCTGGGCAAAACAGAAATATTTTTAACCCTTTTGGCAGAAGTGACAACATTTCCATTAGGTGGAGTTATATATATAAGTTTGTGAGGACACACAGTAGACAGCAGGTGGCAGTATGTGCCCACATGCCAGTAGACCAAACAACAGCCCCAAAATACACATATAACCTTTAATGGTTTTTTTTCTTTTAAGATTGACGATTTATTTAGCGCTTGCAAAAGCATCAGTGTGTTGTCACGAGCTAATCTTTTATGTCTAATGAACTTCAGCATGTGCTATTATCAACCAGTCATGCAATAAATAAATAATAATAATAATAAAATTACAGATTTCTGCAATTCAGACACACATTAATTGTGATTACTACACAATAATTGTACATTATTGAATTACCTGATACAAGAAGTCACATAATAATTTGTAGAATTATTACTGCAGCAACAACAAAAACATTCAGAAATTGCTAGCAAATTTCACAATTAATTACAAAGAAATGGCAAGTAAGATGTTGAATTAAACAAAATTTTTAAGTAGAAATATTATTTTCTTGTAAAACATACTTTAATCTTTGTTTTATTTACAGCTTCGAAAAACATATATAATGTATATATATATACAGTATATATATATATATATATATATATTATTACAGTGCACAAGCTTTACCATCATTAGTGTAATAACAGAAGTTGGAAGATGAGGATTGATTATGAACTCTTTACCCTGAACTTGGGGCATTTGTGATTCATGCGGGCTGCTAAAGTCATCATGTTTGCAAACAGCCATAACCTTTAATGTCATTTCCTTTATTTTATTACATTATTAGTATTGTTCACTGGGGATTGTGAAACAGCAAAGGTTCTGCAACAGTAGTCTATGTCATTGTTTTTAGTGTTAAAAAGGGCACACTGGACAGTAACTTAGTTAAAACAGAAAACAGGTCTTTAACTTTTACTCTGTCCTTCCCCCAGATGTTAAATGGCTGTAATGGGTGAGACTGAACACGACCTGCAGGGTGACAGGTCCAAACTGGTGAGCTGTTGTCAGCAGTTTCATATAAAAAAAATATCCTACATCCTTGTTTTTATGAAAGAGGAACTTGTGTTCCTCTTTCATAAAAACAAGGATGAGCATGTAAAAATACTCTGTAAAAATACTCATTCACTGAATGATTTGTAAGGCATTTGTACAATCCTTATCCCTTAATAAACCCGACAGGGTAAATAAGGACCCCGGGCATGAAATGGAGCTTGTGCAGAGGCTGTGATGCTGTGAAGATCACATATTTTACACACAGTATGTGAATAGTCTTGCATGTCAAGAGTCAAAGAAGATTCTGTGGTTTAGAACTTGGCACATTTTCCTTTAGAAAGGAAAAGTATACATTTGTCCATTTGTTGTGAGTAATGTGTAATCTATAGAGTTAGATTTTTTTTTTTAAATATTACCATATTTCAAAGGTTGTGGTATTTATGAAACCTATAGGAACAATTGTAATATTAGAATACTTTGAATTTGTTTACTCCAAGTCTAATTTAAAATAATCGGGGTTTTTTAGCTCAGTTTGGAGTGAGAAAGTATATATGTGACCCTGGACCACAAAGCCAGTCATAAGGGTCAATTTTTTGAAATTGAATAAATAAGATTTCCATTGATGTATTTTTATGATAGGACAATATTTGGCCGAGATACAACTATTTGAATATCTGGAATCTGAGGGTGCAAAAAAATCAAAATATTGAGAAAATCAGCTCCAAATTAAGTTCTTAGCAATGCATATTACTAATCAAAATTTATGTTTTAATATATTTACAGTAGGACATTTACAAAATATCTTCATAGAACATGATGTTTACTTTATATCCTGATGATTTTTGGCATAAAAGAAAAATCAATCATTTTGACCCATACAATGTATTTTTGGCTATTGCTACAAATATACCCCAGTGACTTAAGACTGGTTTTGTGGTCCAGGGTCACACACACACACACATATATACTTGCAATGTAGCTCAGGGGTAGCAATAATGCACTTTATAATTACTAGAATAATTTTATGAGATTAATGTTTTAATAAAACATTTTGAATTTGAATGAAATGGTGGGGGACAAATAAATAATGTTTTTAATTATGAAACTAAAACCACTGTCACTAGCAAGTCACAGTCTTAATGAATGAGTCAAAAATAACACTCTTCTTCCTCGTCTGATATTGCACCATATGTATAAAAAGCAAGAACTCATACAGACAGATTTCATGTCAGTGGCACTGCATGAGAAACTGGACATGTGTTGTGAGAGGGCCCACCTGCTTGTCCCAAATTGTTAAAAATATTAATCATTCATTGTAATATGATTTATTAATGAGGAGTTTTTAGACAGTACTCTAGGGCTCTGTTTGTACTAATGTAGTAGGGCTATGTCATAACCTTTGTCTATCAGGAAACAGATGTGTACTCTAAATGCAGTGGCCAAATTGATTTGTGCTGATATAATAATTCTTGTTCCCATCAAAATGCACAGCATAGTGTTATTTGTATTAACTTGTTATTGGCAGATTGAGCTAACACATGATCATAATTTTTGTCCATTTTAAGGAGTTATGCATTTAGTTATAAACATGGAACATCTCACATACTGTATAGGGTAAAATGGGGGAAGATTCCCCCTTAAGAACAAGAAAATTGACTTTTAAATTGTAACATATTTAGATATAAGTTTAGCATGTGCAGGATGATGATTCATTAGCCAATGTGTTATTATAGAAAATAAATAAAAACATTTGCTTATTTAGTTGTTATAGCACAAAATGTAAAATATGAAAAAGAGGGGTAAAATGACCCCTACTGTCCACAAATCCCTCATTAACCGACTGACTAAATCTCACAAATGTTGATATTCAGATGAAATGACAAAATTAAAAATAGTGTAGCCATTCATCAAAACTGCTAAGATGTAATTGCCATATATAGTCAGGAGAAATACTGTATATTATCAGTTAGTTTGGAGTAGTTAGTTCTTAGTGGGTGAATACTTCATGAATATATTTTTTATTGTTTTGGCCAACAGATTTTGCAATTAATATAATTGTATACATTAATCATTTTTAAAACACGTGACATTTCCCAAAATGTAGAAAGACAATAAAAAATAATAAAATAAAATAATAAAAAAACCACTGCCCCCGTTATTCAGTTTTGGTATGCTTGTTCTGTCCATTGGAATATCAAAAAAGACACAGACTCAACTCACTTTCATCAGATGCATTTTAATAGGAAAAAAAAAAATTATACAACAAACAGAGCAAGGCTATTGCATAGTATACATTATAATTAAATTCAGTTTTCAAGATTATTGTTAACAAGAGATTATCTTATCTAGAATAAGTATTTGTTAAAAACAAATAAAGATATAAGTATTAGAGAGATCTGTAATTAACAGTGCATGACGTGTTAGAACAATGTGTTATTGATCATTCTTATCAGGACATGGACAGCAGATTGTTACAGATGTTGATGTATATTTGTAAAGACTCATTAAAGTCAAAGTTAATAGGAATTTTTACTGTTAGTGTAACATTCTCCTACTTTAAAGCTTATATGGATTCATTAACCATTCTTCCATGGCTCAGTTTTCACTAATACATTATCAGAACCTTTGTCTTTCAGGAAACGGATCTGTACTCCGGGCGCAATAGCCAGTTTGGATTTGTACTGATAAATATCATAATTCTCATTACCAACCTCCATCTTTTCAAACTTCACAACATAGTGATACGTGTAATAGTCATCATTTTTCTCTTGTGAACTAGTGTAAAACCCCACCCATGAGTAGTAAAATAAATCTTTCCAGTCTGTGAAGGTCTTCTTGATATAAAGTCGAGCACAAGCTTTACCGTCTTCAGTGTAGAGCTGTAGACCAACATCATCATACTCTGGTCCATAAAAGAATTCTGGAACGTTTGATGAGAGTTTAGCTTGAAGACTTTGTGTGCCACAATCTGATAGTAATATTGTCACTGTTTCAACACCCTCCCAGGGCACAGTTTCTGCTAAAACATTGTCATATTTTTTGTCCAGCAGAAAACGGATTAGAACTCCAGGAGCAATAGCTAAACTGGAACTGTACTGGTAAATATCATAATTGTGTGTGATATAGTTTTCAATCTTTGAAAACTTATCAGCATACTGATATGTTGAATAGGCATCATTTTTATCTTGTGAACCCATGAGTGCGAAAAAACATTTTTCCAGTTGCTAAAGGTTTTCCTGATGTAGAGTCGAGCTCAGGCTTTTCCGTCTTCAGTGTAGAGCTGCAGACTTGCATCAAACCCCTTTATTCGGATGGGAATCACTCTGTTGGCTCCATCAAACTCTGGTCCATACCAAATGTATGGATTAGTAAATTGAAAATCAAAAAGTGATGGGTACAGTCGCAGTCGAGGTTGGAGACCAGCATTCATGGAGAGAGAAGTATCTAAAACCCCAGACGATTCATAAATATCCAACTGGTTCCTGACCTGCGTATGAACTTCATTAGTTTCACTGGAACGAGTGTTTTGGCAAATTTCAATGTATACGTATTTGGAATTTTCCATCATTTTAGCAGGTATCTCCCAAAGGAGTTTTGAGAAACCTTCTGTAGTTGCTTTTATCTCTAGTTTAATTCCTTCATATGCATTACATTGCAAATAGGGTGAGCGTTTCTTTCTGCGGCTGATATGACTGTGTTTACAGTCATTGCTGCTATATCCTGTCTCTGTCAGAAACTGTAGGCATTTGTCATATTCTGTGTCTTCTGTATTGCGTGCTATTGTGTAAAAACCAGAAATATTGCTCTCATCCACAGTGCAGTTATACGGGTCTCCAATCTGCAAGAGCAGAGCAGGATCAATCTCATAAGTGTCAGAAGGATTAAAATCATTCTTGTGAAGGTCATGTGCTGTAATAAACACACTGAGTATCTTGTTTGGCCTATTTTGTTTCACAGAGATAATAAGCCTGTCCATGTTTCTTTCTGGCACATTGGTGTTTCTGTAATACTTCTGCACATAGGCTGGCAATGCATTGGCTCCGGGAGATTTTAAATTGCCAACCGAATAGTAACTCTGCCAAGAGCTCAATGAGGGGAGAATGTCCTCTCTATTGCCATAACCATGGAATCCAAAGTCACCTCTACTAGGATCAAAATTCGAATCAAGGATGAGCATGTTGTTCTGATCAACAGTCACGACTTTTTGGGCAAACCAGAACAATAAATGGAGTCCATGACGTGGCGCAGACTTGGCATATGTAATGTTTTTCAAGTCATGAATATTGTTACGTTTTCACAAAGAAGAGACGCTTTCTATTGAGCGTCAACTGGGAAACCCATCAAAAAATAGATCAATGCTTTGAAAGTGCCACACAGAGCCACTCAGTGTACACTTTTAGGGAAATTAACTTAGGAGTGGCTGCTTACAGTTATATCGGCATTAAGATAGGAAAAAAATATTTTATCTTCCAAAGAATTACACACATAACATTTAACTTTAATTTTAAATGTCAAGATCACATTAACACTGATATCTAGCATTGGCAATATAAAGTCAATAGTTCAATAACTTTTGTTTGATTTAAATGTAATATTTTGTATTAAATATAACATTAATATTTCAATCAATTTAGTAAATGTAATTCACAATCATAATTTATCATCTGAATGTATTTAAACACTTTGAAGAAATCTATAATATTCAACAGACTTCAATTTAAATTCACCCTACCTCACATTGAAGGTCCTCAGTGGAAGAGCCTCTGCATCCGTCACATCTCTCAGATGATTATTTATACAATATGAAGGAGGCTGTACTTTACAGATAGGGTGTGTCTGCACAGTACAGCCTGTAAGACTGTCCTTCAGTTATAGCGTCATTTTTAAACAATTTTGCCACAATAAAATTTTCTTTTAAGTGTACTTGTTTACTATAGAGACAACATGTCAGTGAAGAGTAGGCCTATGCTGGAAATATGAGACTAAAGATAAAAATAACATTTTATCGTGTGTCATTTTTCAAGTCATACTATCATACTGTCATTTTTTTTAGTCCGCAGGGACAAAATTGCCTATAGTTGAAGAAACATCCATAGACAATTTACAGTCGTTTTCTGCACATGTTAGAAAGTTTAGGGTAATAAACCAGTTGCCTGTTTTATTAATATATGAAATAAGTAATTGTAATTAACATTAAATGTAAGTAATGCCTCGCATATTAATAAAAATCCTAAGTGTTTTTTTTTTATTAGACATTTATTAACCATGCAATTAAGTCTTATTAGCTAAGATTTAAAAAAAAATCAAAGCAAAGACCTTTACCAGTAATGGGCGATTTGTACAGTAAATCTGTAATGCTGGCAGTTCTCAGGAGTTCCGCTCGGGGGCGCCCCTGCTGCAGCTCCTCCGCCCCGGATGACAGCGTTGTCCGCGGCGTGCGCGTCCTTCCGGTTTTGGGATGAATTGCTTTGGTGCAGTGTTTTTATTTCTTTGAATGCGTTGATTGTGTTTCAGCGGCCTCAGAGTCGATGGATATTACTTTAGCTTGATGCTTTCCTTCTCCTCGATCTGGCCATGTCATTCAAAACCGCAACCGAGCTGAGCTGACGGTACGTCTGGATGAATGCATTATTAATGCTCGCTCTGATGTTTGATATCTGAACATGTTTGACACTATTCCTATTAAAAGCCCATTCAAAATTGGGCTTTTAAAAATTCCCATTAAAAGCCGTCTTTAACACCACTGTCGCAACTTATTGCTGAAATTTTAAACTGAAGAACAGCTCGTCATTTAGGGCAAAAATTTAAGGCAAAAACATTTTCAGGTTCATACTTTCTTTTGATATAGGCTACTGAATTGAGTATGACATACATGCAGGAACAAGCAAAGACAACGAAGCTACGATAATGGTCTTACTGTATATGTTACTGTTTGATGTCTTTTAGTTTTAAAACGTAAAGCATGCTCAGAAAATCACACTGTTACTAAAGTGTTTCGTCTTTCAGAAGTGAAGCAGCTTCCGGTTGCCATGGAGACGGAGAGTGAGCATCATGGGATGTTTGTGGATCCCGACTTTCCTGCTGAGGAGTCCTCACTCTTCTGTGACTACACCACGCCCCTCCCCAAATTGTTGGGTGATGTCACATGGCTCCGCCCACAGGTACCATAATATTCAGTCACACAGGTAATATTATGTAGATTCCAATGAACACACATGAAGACCTTCTATAAGAACTGATTTCCATTTAGCTTGGTTTTGCTTGTATGGATTTTAGTGGGTTAGCTTGAGAAGTTTGTACGAATTCTTAAAACAGAAGGCAAAAACGACCAGGATGACCTACTACTTCCTGACACCATAACAGTGACTGCATGATGAATTTCATTCATACTTTAAAGAACATACTTTTTTAATGGTCATGGAGTAAGTTTCAAACCACATATAGTACCTACTGTACAGGATGCGATTTCAGTCACAAAGCAACTTTACAGTACTTTTCCTTCTGTTTATTACAGGAGATCTGCAAGCAGCCTCAGCTCTTCCCCGATGACCCTGTGGAGGCCCACCCAAAGCAAGGCATCCTGGGAGACTGCTGGTTGCTCTGTGCCTGCTCCATGTTACTCAAGAACCAGCATCTTCTGAACAAGGTGAACAACACTTGTCAGATTTCATGTGGAGATGTTTTATCTTAACTGGAAATAAAACCTACATGTTTAATAGAGTGCAACAGTCCGGGAAAAAAAAACTTGTACCTTTGACATTTTGTTCAATTTTCATATACTTTTTTGCTCGAGTAGGAGTTTGTAATGTTGTGATTCACTTTGTAGCTCCATTTCCATTTCCATTTATTCATTGGCAGGCGCTTTTATTCAAAGCGACTTACAGTTGAGGAATACAAGAAGCGATGTATCATAAGATGGCAATAAACACAAGAAGTGCCCGTTATACAAGGTTTCAATCATCGTTCAAAATAGTAAAAAGCTAGGACAGGAGGATAATAAGAGAACAGAAAAAGTGAAGGCATAGAATTAAAAAAATATATATTATTATTATTATGAGGAGGCAGTTAGATGCTCATGGAAGAGATGAGTTTTCAGTTGTTTCTTGTTCGGATGGAGTTAGGTAGGTCTGATTGCACATGTTGGAAGTCCAGCCAGAAGAGCATTGCAATAGTCCAGCCTAGAAATGACAAGGGCCTGGACGAGAAACTGTGTTGCATGCTCTGTTAGGAAGGGTCTCATCTTCCTGATGTTGTGTAGTGCAAACCTGCATGATCGTGCTGTTTTTGCAATGTGATCTTTAAAGGTCAGTTGATCATCAAGGATCACCCCAAGATTCCTGGCCGAACTTGATGGAGTATTGTTGATGAGATACTGTACTGATGAAGTGAAGTGACGTGACATGTGGCCAAGTATGGTTACCCATACTCGGAATTAGTGCTCTGCATTTAACCCATCCTAAGTGCACACACACAGCAGTGAACACATACACACCGTGAACACACACCCAGAGCAGTGGGCAGCCATTTATGCTGCAGCGCCCGGGGAGCAGTTGGGGGTTCGGTGCCTTGCTCAAGGGCACTTCAGTCGTGGTATTGAAGGTGGAAGAGAGCGCTGTACATTCACTCCCTCCACCTACAATCCCTGCCGGTATGAGACTCGAACCCGCAACCTTTGGGTTACGAGTCCGACTCTCTAACCATTAGGCCACGACTTCCCCCATGGGGTGGCTGGGAAGATGAGAAGTTCTGTTGGTTTGGTTCATGACTTTTAACTCTTTAACAAACACTATTTTTAAAATCCCTATGGGAAAAATGAATGGGAAAGATGCTTTCGGAACCCAGGTCACTGAAAAAGTGAGTGGTCACTGTTGCACTCTGTTATTCAGTTATTTTAAATATACCAGTTACATGGCAAGAAACCTCGATCATATTTCACACATTAGACTTATTCTAAAAAATGATGATAACACATCTGTGGTTTGTTCTTTTATAATTCTGTGTAAAAACTGAATGTTTTCAAGGTGTATTTTTATGTGCGTTTGTGTTTGTTATCAGGTATTTCCACCAGAGCAGCCTTTGTGGGGTGACCGTGTTTACCACGGTGAGTTCCGGGTCCAGTTCTGGCAGAACGGGCGCTGGATAGAGGTACGGGTGGATGACCAACTGCCCTGTATCAATGACACTCTCTGCTTTTCACGATGCCAGAGCCCTAGGGCATTCTGGGTAGCACTTTTGGAGAAAGCTTATGCCAAGTAAGTGCTATAACTTGAATGAAGATTTTGGTGGATTATATAATTTAACTGTAATGTGTGAACTAAAAGCAAAACCTAATAATTGAGAAGTTGTTCATTGTTCTTCATGCTAGGTTACATGGTTCGTACGAGCGTTTGTGGGCGGGGCAAGTAAGTGAGGCAGTTGTGGACTTGAGCGGAACCATAGCAGTACGATGGAATCTAAAAGGGGCGGAGTCTCCACAACAGCCCAACGACTCCCAGACTCAACACACACCTAATGGGATGAGACTATCTGAACTCTCACTGGAGCTGAAGGAGCGATGTGCCATCGGCTGCTGTGTCCACAGCGCCCCCACAGGTGAAAGAGGAAAGCAACCACTGACTTTTTTTTCCTCTCCAAACACTAGCTTAAAGCTGAATTAAATTAACTTTCCATCATTGACACAGTTATTACATGAATACATCAACTAAAACAGAACCAAATTAAGTATTAATAATATACTATTATAGTACTTATTAATATTTTAAATTGGATTTTATGTTTATATTTATCAGTTTTCATTTTAATGATAGTTTAATTTAATTTTGTGCGTTTTTATTAGTTTTTAATATTTCTGTTTTTTTTACTTCAGTTTTTTTTTGTAATTTTAGTACTTCAACTTACTTTATTTAGAAACATTTCTAATTTTGTTTAGTTTGTTTTTTGTATTTTATTTTATTTCAGTTAACATTTATTTTATTGCAATGATTTTTAATAGTTTTAGTTAACAATAGCAACACTATTTGGGAATGATTATAGACTACAGCAACAATAGTTACTATAGTTTACAGATTTTATAATGTCCCACATTTACTCCTTAAATTTGTTGCTGGCAAATCTGCAGTTTTCAGAAAATCTTTCACAAAATACCATAGGAAGGATTTAATAATAGTACTGTAATAGATCTAGTAATGGGTTCGTTGCAGGTATCCCAGAGCTTGGTCAGTTCCACGCCATGAGTGTGATGGAGTGGACAAATGTGACAACCACTACAGGTGAACAAGTGGAGCTGATCAGGATACGAAACCCCTG